GGAAAAATTGGTTTTGGCTAGCTTTCCTTTGCGTGTTGTCAAATTTGCATGTACTAGCCAAGCTGAGGAAAACACCCAGTCAGAGGAAATGGTGGTCTTGCACTTTGTGTCGCGGACCTCAAGCAATAGTTTTCCCTCCCTGGCAAAAATCCATTGTGCTTGCTGAGCTGGCTCTTGATCTTTGTACGAACGACCAAACTTATTGCTGGTGAACAAACTACACGAACAAAAATTGTGTGAACCACAAAAGACCCACTGCAATCGCTCCAGTTCCACTAGCCAGAGCCTTCTCGCGCGCAGGTGGACACGTGGCTTCAGCTTTGGTCGCCCCTGGCTGGCCAGCGTGTTGGCTGGCTGGGGGCGTTAGGGCACAACGACGTCACCATAATTTCGTAATTTCGACGACGTCACTAAATTCAGTTTTTGAATTTAACGAAATTAACCGACGACCCAGGAATTATTTTATATTGCCCAGATGGAGGTTTGATTTGAATTGATTTGATGCTTTAAAAGTTGAAGTGCATGCATGTGCATGCTAGTACTGGTTAAAGTGTGTTTTTCGTTTTGGGGGATCTTTGGAATCTTGGCCTGTGAAGCAGTGATTGGTCAATCCCCAAAGTGCCTGATCTTCACCCAATTTCACCCTGAATCAGAAAGAAGGAAGCCCCTCGACGCCTCACGCATCAAGGATCATGCTGCCTTAGGAAGCCGGCCAGGCCAGGCGTTCCATTTTCCAGGGTAGAAGGGTCTACCCTAAGAATCCGGGCCCGAACCAACACATAGGGTTTGGTTCGGGCCCAGACCCCTGCCATGCAGGGTCCGACCCCTACCATAGAGAGCCCGGACTCGGATTGTTAGGGTAGGAAAAATGGATCTGTGGATCCACCGAGTTTTTACATCCCTATAGGGTTCCACATACCTTCTCACCAGGTATGAGTGGGCCCATCGACTCCACCCTTGAAACTTCTTCGCCCCGATTGCACTTCTTCGCCCCCCTGCGCAGGTGAACTTCTTCGCGGAATGGTGCGTCCACTGTTGAGAGCTGAGAGTCAGCGGCGCGTGGCAGTGGCGCTCGAACAGTGGATGGGGTGACTTTCAAATATACACCCTAAGGCTCCAAGTACCTCCTCAGAAGGTACTTGAACCCTCCTGGCCCACCCCAGTCCCACCTTCGAAACGAAGGTACGACTGGAGCCCTAGGGACATTGGTTTTTTTTACCCGTGCAGTGCTGAGACATTGGTTAAAATTTATGATGCTCTGGCAATGACACAGTAAGTGGAGTTATATACTTGTTGCTCTTTTGTGGGGTGTGTGTTAGGTGAAACTGATCGTTTCTTGCATCCAATTGCTGACTGAATTGCTTAGACGTGCCACAATTACACGCTGCCAGTGCGATACACGTTGAGTTGAACATCAAAACCCAAAGTGCTGTCAAGCAAATCAATCCCTTGATCCTGCATGCATCAGCCAAATAAGAACCTCTTTCATCCTGTTTCTAAATTTGACACCTCAAAGCCCCAACCCTTTTCAGACCAAGCATGCATATGTTTGAACAAAGGAAGTTGCTGGCGCTAAGACGGTAAAATCTCAAACCAGTTTTTGAGATCCACGCTCGAGCGGCAACATGCGGCAACCAAAACAGACGGTTGGTTTGTTTCATGTTGAGCTGAAAAAAGCATCTAAATTCCAGTTCAGTTCAGGTATCAGTTTTTGTCACACCACAAGACCTCTCAATTTCCAACCAGCAGCCCACAAGTGGAATTCCTGTGATCACATCATCCCATCTTCGCCAGCAGTGCGGATGTTCCAGCAGTCGTCTTCCAGCCCGGCTGGAATCAAGTGAGGATGCCATTCCCAAACACTCCATGTATGCCATGGACCCCCGCAAACCACCCCTGGCCTGATCGGCAGTCCGGACTGGCAGTCCCAGACGGGTCGTGTCTGCGACTTCTGGACGGAGAAGTGTTCATGTGTCGGGTCGTGACCTTCCAGCGGATCGTTGGCGCTTTCCAGCCGGCACTCTTCGAATGTCTTTGGCACTGTTGGCCAAGTATTTCGGGTTTTTGTCCACCAGAAGACAAGCCGTGCCAGAAGACACATCTCCATCTCCGTGAAGGAGCTTCCAAAAACTCCCTGGTTCTCAGGAACGAGGGAATGATTGACAGATTCCTTTGGATCCCGCCACCCTCACTCCCTGCCCTTCCCAGTCGCCGTCCAGTCACCCCACCACCCTCTTCAATCCGAATCAGGTCGTTGATCCATCTCACCCAGCTCCCGGTCCCGAAACCCAAAGCAGAATCGACTCGGACTACTCCTGCTGTCTCGCCCGAGGCCGCAAGTTCGCACCGATGTGGAACGAGGCCGCCGGCAGGAGCGGGAGAGCGGCGGTTGTTGAGCGACCCAACTCCGGTCGGTCGACCCCGGGCAGCGAGCTGGGGCAGCGAGGGCCCCAGATCAACCCGTGACGATTTGGGGGTCCCGACAGATCCAACTCACCTCAGAGTGGATCCGAACAACATGGGATTCAAAGAGTTTGGACTGCAGACTCGACCTGGGTCACAAGTGTGACCTTTCAAGCTGGGTCAGAGAAAGAGTCTTTTCACTCAGAGAGACACCTTGCAGCGCAGACCTTTGGCAAGTCCAGTCATTGAATCGTTGGAGACTCTTTGATTGAGGCTTAGCATGCCTTAGCTTCGGACATTGTGGGACCCTGTACTGTGCGCGTGTCATATGCCGTAGACTCCTGAAATGAATGCAGTCCGTGTGCAGTCCAGCGTTTCGGGCGACCACCTTGGACTGGACGGTGGACCACCTCCGTGCCACGGATCCGACCGGCCCCGACCGGCGAGGATGAGCGAAAAGATGCAGTTTCAGGACGCCGATGGCAAGCAGGCCAGAACCGAACCCGTGGGGTTAGAACACCACAGCTGCCCGTGGTCTTCTTCTGGTGTTTTTTGGTGTTTTTCCGACGTATGTTTCTGCCAGGTCGGTACACTGTAAAATGGTCGTTCTAGATCAAGGTCTTTCACACCTGGTGCCGCGGACACGTGTGGACCCTCGTGTCCAACCTTCGCGGACGGCATCTGGTTCGGTGCGACAACGGATCCCTTTTTGGGGTGTTGGAGCACCTTCGGAGACGAGGGCCGAGCGTTCCCGGCTCTGGATCGGACGAAAACCTCCTTCTGGCGGTGGGATCATCCGGACAACGCATGACAGAACCCAGACACTCCATGTCTGTCATGCCGAATTACATTGACCCTTCAAAGAAACCCCAATGGAGGTATCAAATGGTATCAACATATGGAGTGTCTGGGGAAATGCAGTCAGCTGGTGTCCAAAAGATTCGGGAGGCAAGAACTATATTATCCGGATCCTAGTCTGTTCAAGAACTGAACAGTTCAAGAAACAAATGGAGTGTCCCAGTCACCACTGTGTGATGAGTGTGATGAATTTGATTGCTCACATCGTGGAACAGTGTGGAACAAACATTTCTTTCTAGGTAATATTGGGTTGCACCAGGTACATGCCTCATGCATGCCTCATGCATGCCTCATGCCAGCACACCCGCTCTGCTCGCCGCAGACCACGGTGAAGTTCCTGAAGATGAACTGTGTTGACTTCCAGGCCAAATGTCAGGAGGACGGAGGCACAACGGCCGCTGACCTCTGAACCACACCGAAGGCACTGGCGGCACGGGCCGTGCTGCTTGACGTGCGACGCTCCGTGCATCTCAGCCTTTCCGGGTCCAAACTGCCGAGGATTCGGGTCCAGGGTCACGTCTGGGCAGAGCTTCCTCAGCGAATGAGATCATCACAGAAGGAAAGATGGCCTGGTTGAGGGCAGTTGAGGGACCATGGGTTCATTGCTTCGCATGCTTGGCAGTCGAAATTGAGGGTATGAGGAGGTGAGGTGAAACGGAACTCAGATGCGGGGTGGTTGACTTATGGCAACCGATGGAATCTACGAAACATGACCTGTGGGTCGAAGGGAGAAGCATGAAGGATTCACAAACCACTCCAGATATGTGTTGCCCGTCTCTCCAAAACATGGCACACCGGCGACCCTGAAAAGCCTTGTGTATCTTGGGGTGCTTTATGGTGTTTTCAAGATGTTTTGAGGGTCAGTGTATGTGTACAATTTCATTCTATAACCCCAAAAAAAAACACTGGGTTGGTCTTCGGAACAGGGTCGAAACCACTGGTCAATTCCCGGGTTACAGGATTCGTGGCTGCATCACGTCTCGTCCTGTTGTTCTGCGAGTGCTGATTCGGGTCACCCGGGAACCCACGACCCCCACGTTGTCTTCTCCCCATGGCGGTGGAACGTCCCAGGAGAAGATCCAGGCCTTTCCCACGATCCGCTTGTACAAGCGCGATGGGCCCCTATCCCAGAAGACACACGGCGGTCCACGAGTTCGCCGGTTTGGGCGGGGTTTGGTTCCCGGTCAAGAGAAAGTGTTTGCGATTTGTTTGGTCCAGCTGGGAAGAGGTGTTTTTAGAGGTTGGATGGAGGTACTTCCAACTCCCAGGCACGAAATTTCTGATGCCCCTTCTTTCACAACCTGGCAATGGCCTCCAACCTAAGATGTTGGAAGATGTGTGGCACTCTTTGGGCACAGTGCACTGATCTTCGCTTGCATCTCCGACCCGTCCGGAGGAGTCACCAAGGCCGACAGGTTCAGGGTTGAGGGAAGGTGGAGCAGGGTGGAGGCCGTGCCTTGGTGGTTCCAAAACCCGACCCAGGACCCAGGAGCCATGCCAGTTTTCATCGTGTTTTGGAGGTTGGGAAGGGAGGATGAGTCACTGAGTAGACGAACGGAACTCGCCCGGAGGTCGCGGAGTGGGAACAACTGCCCCGACGAAGTGTAACAGGATGAGGTTGAGAATTTACGACAGGTACAGCCATGCGAAGTTTGCTTCATTCTCTACCGTTGAGAACATGCAATTTGCTGTAAAGGACATCCCTCACCTCTCTTTTGTCGATGTCAGCCACTAGGTCATTCGAGCAGTTCCAGAACAAGAGAACTGCAGCCAGCTCAGATCAGCCATGCCGTATTGTGGGCAACCTACGACTCGGCTCTTCTTCAGCTTCAGAGCTCTATGTGCCGGCTTGGGTGGCTGTATGTGGCTCTATGTGGCTGTGCTGCTCCACAGAAGTGGACGTCCTTTTTGCAATTCTTCTTGTCCGATGTCGTCCTAGCAGCTGTTGAACCAGGGTTGTTCTGAACCTGCTGCTGCTGGTGTTTCAAGACGAGGCTGTTGCCACGCACGGCTCAGGTTGAGAACATCCTGGACTTCATCACTCACACCGTGAGGAGCTCGCTACGGGGAACGCGGGGGTGGCCCATGAACCAGCAAATCACGATTTCTAGATGAAAGGCTACTAAATGAGATAAACCCAAACTAACCCAAAGGCCATCCACCATCTTAATCATCGGCCTTCTGCCTTCTCACTCGGTCATTAGTCATTAGATGTCATTAGTCATATATAGATACAGTGGGAGGAATGCAATGCTTTAAAGAGGGACGGCTATTCATCTAAGCAGTTGTGAACTTGAGACCTGTGGCATGAAGAAACCCTGTGTCATCATGCAGCTTTTGGGACCCTGGAACCTCCTGTTCGGGGTCGAGCTCGTCGAGCTCACATTTCAAATGCAACAGTCAGATGGTGGATGGAGCAGGTGACGTGTGGGAAGCTATGTGTTTGCTTTTTTTTGCTGCAAAAGAAACCATCATGTGAGTCATTGGGTCTACCTCCCAGCTCAAAGGTTTGGAAACTAGACCAGTCTACTGGTCTTCCCTCGAGATACTTTCCCTCCAGGAATAGCCACTTGATGGTTGCCCAGCACCACGCGATCTTCGACCAGGGCTGCCAGGCGATCTTCGATCTGGTCGAT